AGTTTCTGAGGCTGGGAGGTACAAAGTCCATCTGGTGGTGGCAACAGTGACTCAGGGGTCTCACATTGCAAGATGGTGGAAGCAGAGAGAGCAGAGAGAGAGAGAGAGAGAGAGAGAGAGAGAGACTCTCCTCTTCTTTTTCCTTTTTGTCTTTTTTCGTGACCAGTAACGGGATCGCAACCCTCTGTGTTGTGCCCGCACCGCGACCGGCAACGGGATCGCAACCCTTGGCGTCATGCCCGCACTGCGCTCAGCCAGTGAGCGGACCGGTCTCTATATGGGATCTGAACCCTCGGCGGGAGCGCCACCGCTCTCCCAAGCGCCACACTCTACTGAGTGCGCCACCGGGCCGGCCCCAAAGTGTTTCTTTGATTTAATATGTGTGTCCGCAGCCCAGGAAAACACCACCAAGTTGCCTTGGTAAGTGCTTTTCAAAGGGCCAGCAGAACTTTAGCATTTTCATAGTCACAAAAAAGTGAAGAACAAAGGGGAGAAAAGGGGACAGAGCCTTAATCATCACATCGGTTTTTCTGTTGGTTACATAGCATCACATAGGTTAGGGATTGGTTCTCGGCTGCATCCTAGGTATAGATGTATGAGTAAGTGTCAGAAGATACATTCTCAGCATTCCTGAGTTAATACATAGCCTCTTCAGGCATCAGTAGGTGTGATTTAGGTTAAAATAATCTTGTGATAATAGTTCTAGAATGTGGAGATGTTGCCCCATTTCAGACCCCTCAAGGCTTTTAAGAATTTAGCTGACCTCCATCAGAGGAGATTTCTGGTTCATTGATACATATCACGTCACTTGCTCATATATTAACTCGGGGTCCAAGAACTTGCAGAAATTGGAGGCAAAACTTTGAAGTAGGAATAATAACATCCATCAGGTTTACAAAGGAGTCTGGACTCCCCAATGGCTGACAACTTCTGCTATACATCTTTTTTTAAAAGTGTCTACGATGTTGGTAAAAAGTAATACATACTAATTTTAGAAAGTTACAGTAAAGTGTAAAGATAAAATTTAAAATTTCCCATTAATATCTCACTTAATATTTTGGTCTTAGCTTTATACATTTTATACCTTCATGCATTTTTTTTAACTAGTTGTATTATATTGCATGTAAGATTTTGAATACAGCTTTTAAAATTCAACATTGGATCTCAAGTGTTTTCCCATATCTTCACAAAATCTTTATAAATAGTTTTATATGGTGCATATTATTCCATCAAATGATATACAATGTTTGACTTAAATATTTTCTTTTTTTTTTTTTGTCTTTTGTCTTTTGTCTTTTTCCGTGTCCGGCAACGGATCACAACCCTCAGTGTTGCCCCCGCACCGGACCGGGGACCGGCAACGGGATTGCAACCCTCAGTGTTACCCCCGTGCCTCGCTCAGCCAGTGAGTGGGAACCGGTCCGCACGTGGGATCCGAACCCTCGGGCGGGAGCGCCGCCGCGCTTCCCAAGCGGCGCACTATCCAGTGTGCCACCGGGCCGGCCCACTTAAATATTTTCTTATGTTCTGTTGTCAAACATTGCAGATGTTGCTGTTTTTTGACTTATGTAAATAATGCTGTGACAACTTTTGCTATTAATTTGGACTCTAGTAATTAGTTCATAATTCAGACATGATTCAGCTGGGGGTGAAGGGGAAAGAGGACACAGTCTAAGCAAATTATTAGTGTAAATTGAAGGAAAGCTAAACCTACTTAAAGTAACAAATGTTTTAGGGATTATTTATAAATAGTTACTTTGTTATTTAAAAGTTATCCTTCACCGAATTAAGGTAGATCACAGTAGGTTCTTTAGTCAGCATTTTTCTTATTAGCTTTTCTTTATAGTCCCTAACAGGACATTTGATAGAACTTTTTTGGGATGATGGACATGTTCTTTATCTGACTTGTCCAATATGATATCAATTAGCCACATGTGGCTATCGGGTACTTGAGATGTGGCTAATACAATTGAGGAACTGAATTCTTAACTTTATTTAAGTTCAATGGACTTAAATTTAAATTTAAATAGCTACATGTAGCTACCTTCTTGGAGAGTGCAAGTCTGTAATGATGATGACTAAAACACTTTATAGTGCTTACCTTTTCTTAGGCACTCTTCTGAGTGCTTTACATATTAATGTATTTAATCCTCCCAGAGACTCCATGAGGTAGTCTTCCAGTCACTATTGTTATATAACAAATTGCCACAAAGCTTTGTGGCTTAAAACAACAACAATCACTAATTTTGCTTAGGTGTCTACAATTTGGGCAGGGTTCGTCAGAGACAGCTCATCTTTGCTCCATGCAGCATCAACTGGGGCAATAGGGTCTACTTCCAAGATGGCTTAGTTCCTGATTGGTAAGTTGATTCCTGCTTTGGTTTCTCTCCACCGGGGAAGTTTAGGCCTCCTCACAGCATGGTGGCTGGGTTCCAAGAGTAAGTGCCCCAAGAAACAGGAAGTGGAAGCTGTCAGTTTCCTAATGACTAGGGGCTGGAAAGTGGTAAAGCATCACTCCCAACACATTCTGTTGGTCAGGCAAATCACAGAATATATATTTTAGGGAAGGAGATGTAGCCCTCACCTCTCAGTGGGAACAGTATCAAAGAATTTTAGGACCGTGTTTTAAAATCATCTTAGACAGGCACCATCATTTTGATTCCGTCTTATACATGGGGAAAGTGAGCAATGACTTGCCCAAGATGACATGTCTAGTAAGAGGCCAAGCTGTTTTTTCTGCCAGGCAGTCTGAGCTTTTAACCTCNTGACATGTCTAGTAAGAGGCCAAGCTGTTTTTTCTGCCAGGCAGTCTGAGCTTTTAACCTCAGTGCTATATTGCATCACTCTATAATTCATAGGTTTCACTAATTTAGATTCATGTCTTCTTTAGTTATTCCATGAGACAGTAATTACAGGTTGAACATTCCTATTCTGAAAATTTGAAATCTGAAATGCTCCAAAATGTGAAACTTGAGCACTGATGTGATACTTAAAGGAAATACTCACTGGAGCATTTCCAATTTTGGATTTTCAGATTAGGAATGTTCAACAGTACGTATAATGCAAAAACAATACTGTATTCCAAAATCTGAAAAAGTCCAAAACCTAACACTCTTCTGCTCCGAAGCATTTAGGAAAAGGGATATTCAGTGTGTATGAGACTGAGTGAATGATACATGTTTGTAAATCACAAAATTCTGTAAATATGTAGTATTTGTAAGGGTTTGCTCGATGCCATATTAATGATGAAGACACATTCTCAACCACCTGATTCAGGTGGAGCTGTTTGGTCAATTTTGAGCCCCTTTGCTTTTCTCCCTGTATCCCACTGCCCCCAACAGAGAATTTATCATCACCTCCAGATTGAAACAGACAATGATTCTGAGCAAAACGATTGAAACAGACAGTGATTCTCAACAAACTCAGTCTCAGCATGCTGCCTACTTCACCTATTTCTGTTTCATGGAATATGTGTTAGTAAAAGGAATTAACTAAATAAAACTTATTTGGATGTAAAAGGAGTTTAATGAATGTTTCTGGTTTTTACTAAAATTAAGGCTTG